GCCGCCCGGCGCTGCCACAGCCCCAGCATGGCCGCGGGCCATTGACCAGGCCGCCCTGGCCGGTGTACGGTGTACGTCTCCTCGCTCCTTCGTCAGTTTGTTGTTGCACATTCCAGGACATCAGTATTTTAACAGTCTCGAAGTGCCTTTCTATCGTAGTTTCTGGGTTGTTTTTATTTTCCTCCTGTTGGGCTCCATCGCTGTTAGCATAGCGTTTAAGGACTGCAGAAGTAAGAGATAAGCTAACGACTATAACACTATATTCCTCCAGGGGAGAGGAAGTTTATTAAGAAAACAATAAAGTGAAGTTGAAGTAAGTTCCTGTTTCAGTCCGCGATGGTGGCAAGGGCCATGATGAGCCCGAGGTGGGGACAAAGCCAGGGGACAGAGGGGTGCTGGAGGTAATGGATGCGATCTCAGGGGCAGGGCTGGCTCTGCCTGACCCCCCCGGTGGGTCCCCACGCTCCTGGTCGGGCAGCCTCGGTGCTGGTGAAGCCCTGCCGGGGTCTGCCGGATGAGCCGTAGGTGGGGACAGCTTAGTGTGTCCCCCCTGCTGCCCCTCGCCCTGACCCAGCAGTCGTCCTGATGTGGGAGAAGGGTAATGGCACAGAGCTCCCGGTGCTCCCATGGTACAGAGCCAGAGGTATCCGTGTGCTCAGGCCAAGAGCATCTGAACCCACCACGAAAATAGCTCCCACAGCCTCCCCGGGTGCTATTTGAGCCCTGGCAGCCCTCGGTGCCCCAAAAACACCCCTTCTTCCCCAGGTGCCTCCCTCTTCCTCCTCCCCAGGGCAAAACTCAGCTCCGCCAGCCCCTCGCAGGGGACGATCCCCTCCGAGGCAGCAGGCAGAGGTCAGCAAGTCCCCTCTCCCTCCCCGAGGCGCAGAGCAGCCAGGCCATGTGCTGGAGGACATGGTATTTATTGGCTACCTATAAGTTAAGGGTGAGGGACATGGGGCACGGGGGTGGCAGGAGTCACGTCTCGGCTTTCCACCCCTTCTCCTTCTCATCCTTGGCCTGGATGCGGAGCTCCTCGTCCAGCCGCTCCTTGGCTCTCACCACCTGCAGGACATGGCGACAGGGTGACATGGAGGGATAGGGCTGTTCCCTCCCCTCCCTGCCTCATCTGTGGTGATGCTCAGGCTCTGCCCTCCCAAATCCCAGGCAGGGGAAGGTGCCGAGGGCAGGGCTGGGGGCCAGCGCAGCCCCCTCCTCTCCTCCCTTTGCTCACCTTGGACTGCAGGTAGAAGGAGCCTCCCACCGACTTGTCGTTCACCTTGAACAAGTGGTCGTAGTTCTGCCGAAAAGAAATTCCCTATCAGATTCACTTCTTCTGCCCTCCCCAGCCCTGAATCCCGGTGGCCTCCTGCTCCCTGCAGTGGAGCTGGAGGTGATGAGTGCCATCTGGGGGACATGGCTGGCTCTGTCCGACACCCCTGTGGGTCCCCAAGCTCCTGGTCAGGTGCCTCTGGAGACCCCACGTCCCCCTCCCCAAGCAGCACTGCCAGGCAAATGCAGGAGCTGAGCCTTG